CACTACGGAAGCAGATACTCTCTTACGCCACCTACCAAAACATTATTAAACATTTATTGTTCCATGTATCTTATTAAAATTTGAATTATTGTATACACTATGAATAACAACAACGATAATTAATACTTTCCTATAAAATAAAAATAAATTGAATATTAAATTATTATTAATTTAATCATTGTAATCATAATAATCAATCATAATCATAAATAATCTATAATTATATTATACACGTTTATACTTAAAACAAAAAGATATAGCTAAATATCTAAGGAGATGAAAGTACAATTAATCCAAATTGTTATATTAAGTAATTCATTAAATTACTTTGTTTTCATCGGTTAGTAGAGATAGGAAATCCCACATTATTTTCTATAAAGTCGTTTTTGTCCTATCTTTCTTATTTAAGCCGACAAAAAAATTCTGAAAATATCTGACTAATTCTACGTGTCGAAATCTATGTTAGGTAATTTTTTTCGTATTTTTTATATGAAAATCGTATTTGTAAAATATTAAAAAATATAAAAATATCGAATTTCTTTTTCATGTGTTAAGGTAAATACATTTATATCTTTGTAATTGTTGTATTTTGTATAATTTTAAACATCTTAGCATCATTACAAAAATGTATGAATCAATGAAACTAATATATTCATTTAATATTGCGCTGCACACGTTATATTGTAAATGTCTACCGTATTCTTAAGAATATTGTCGGCGTAGCTGATCAGCGGCTAATTTCGGAATCGCAAACACTTTGATACGTGTTGAAATTCCTGTGGTTCCGCTTCTTTTCCTTCTACGTTAATACAATGATTTGCAATGTGGAAGATAGAACAGAAATTGATAATCTGGGTTTTCCCTGCTACTACTCGTTCGGGTGAAGATAGTGTTTAAATTTAATATAGAATACTTCCTTTTATAAAATAATGAAAATACTATTATAAGGTTAAACGATATACAGATATGTTTTAGGAAACATTTTATCATTTTGATCTAATAATGGTTGTAAATACAATATTTAATTTTTATCGTCTTCCAAAACATATTGTTTTTATCTTATTTTCAAATATAAATAACTAAAAACATTTTAATCCTATAAATTTTATTAGTCGAATCTAATTTTCGTTTCAGACGGATAGTTTTACTGTTTAGCTAAGGGAAAAACGAAGCTGCCACGATGCGGAAATCGGTATGTATATTTTTGCAAATGATTAGCTTTTGTTCGAAATTTTAAATTGTTAAAACACACAAAAAATTGTCAACTTATGTTTGTAATATTGATATATCATTTCTCGAACATCTTATATTAAGGTTATGAAGTGTAGTACTCTACTAACAGAAGTAAACGCAAGGTAACCAGATGTTTATATTTTTTTTACTATACATTCAACAAGACCAGTAATACAAATAAACGTAAAGTTTACCACCTTCAGTTGCCTTGTCGTTTTACATTGAAATTACTGATACTCGCTTTACTAAGTTTGACCGATATCAGTATTGATCAACAACTGTACTAATCGACTTTGAAAAACGTACATTCATATTTATTGACGTATCTAGTACGTATGTACGCATATATTATATTTGCATTATAATCGGTTATATTTGTTTTATCATAGTACATTATATTTCGTGACTTCTGAACGACTATAATCCTCCCTCTTTGTGTTATAATACTATTGTGTACTATCATATTGTATCGCAAGAAAATGTTGAGATTTACTTTTATCACCATTATACCCACTCTTTATACGTCATTTTATTAATATTATACTTTTTTAAATAACCTGAAGTTTTTAAAAATATTTCATTAAATTCGAGACATATGCATTCGGTTTTGCACATTATTATCGTATCCTTGAAATTTTTAAATCTTGTGATCCAGTCAGTATTTTTCTTATATTTATTGGCTCAATTCCAAGATTTTCCACTGGTTTTAATTTTACTTGTTGCTTCCACTGCATGGTATATTTTTTAAATAGCGTTTAATCATTTAACAACAAATTATCGACAGTAAGGAATATTATATACGCAAAAGTATTTTAATAAACAATATATTAACGATATATCAAGTACTGCCCTCTATGGCAATTGCAAATGAAGAACATACCCTTCGTAACGGTTCCTTAAATTCCAGAACTGCAGTACCAACAATATATTTAATTTTCATAGTAGCGATTCTGTTAACAGTATCCCACGTAACAGTTTCTCAGTATCGTACGAAAACGTAGGCTGTGTTAAGGGAACCGTTGCTTCCTTCCGCACACCCGGTATTTTAGCTGAACGCTGATTGGCCGTGGCCAGACGCACCGGCTTCCTCACGTGATCACGTCCTGTTTCTCTTTCTCCGTACCGCTGGATAGAGCATCGTGTCTAACAAAGAAGGGGAACCGATGCATCGCTTGTAAGGCGAAAACGGTGGGGAGAAAGACGCTGGCCGATTGCACTTGCCCCTTGGCGCATTGTCCATCTCGAGACCGGCAAAAGCCAACAGTCGAATCTTGCTCGAGCGATCGGTTTAATTAACATCTTTAAATTCCTGGTGCATCGTACGAATCGTTTGTGTCCGTCCGTGTGCTCGATAGACGTGTGCTTTACCGTACACGGTGTTAACGATTTCTTGTTCGTTCGCATTCGCGTGGTAGTTATTCGTAGCAGCCATGGTTGCTGGTAATAAAATGGTAAGCGTGCATCGAGAAACCTTTTTACGGGTCACCGAAGAAATCCATTACGATCGTAGTCGTACAGTGTGTTTCCTTTTCTATATGGGGGGCAATGAGTTAGTGAGACCGCTGGGAATGGATTAGCAGCGGAAATCTCTACCAGAAGGCGATATGGTTTTTTTTGTTGATTTTCGTTTCTTGTTTCGTATGCAAAGATGAACGTCAGGGTGACGACGATGGACGCCGAACTGGAGTTCGCGATCCAGCAGACGACCACCGGGAAGCAACTTTTCGACCAGGTTGTAAAAACGATCGGTCTGCGTGAGGTGTGGTTTTTCGGGCTTCAGTACACCGATAATAAAGGCGACCTGACATGGATCAAACTGTACAAAAAGGTAGGATTACTTGTTACTTATTATCTTAATTATCTTGCTAATTATTTAATAGTAATGGTCGCTACAAAGTGACTATACAAAACAGTATTAGTAGTTGCTTTGAAAGTATTATATGCTTTGTGTAGATTTTGGGAAGAGTATTAAGACTTATATTACATTCGATAGTATGTTTGTTCCAGTCTCAGAATATATTCGTATTTAAATCATTTTTCACGATTACTGTATTACATTGTACGAATATTTCATTGAGAGCAATGGGTTACCTAGACAGCGAACGTTCGTTTAGAATTTTTTAGTGATTCGTTTTGTAACATTAAGCCTTTGTTTGTACAAAGATATTTTAATAAATAAAAGGTTTATTTACATTTTCAAGAAAATATTAACTCATAATAAAGTGTAAATTGAAGTAATGTTTTTGGGTGATTAGTGATTGTAAAATGTACTTCAGTACATTTAAGATTGAAAAACTAGAGGAAAATGTTGTAGAGGTCATCTAGTAAAAAGATATACTTAACAATTTTTGTACTTCCATACAGTTTTTAAATTTTATTCTACATTGTGATATTTTTTCAGAATATTTTCTATTCCTTGTGCATCATGAGAAAGTATTTGTCCTTTGTCTCATACAGATGTTCTAGGAATAATTCTCTCTTGTGTTATTTTATTTGGAAACTTTAAAACAAAATTTTAATTATTCATAATGTATTTGAAAAGTATTTCTGAAAAAAATGAATTTGCTATTAAATATATTAACGAGAAAACTGAAAAATTAAGTGAGATTTTTCAACACGTTATGAATATATGAATAGAATATATTTTCTTAATTAAGTAAAACACAATGTACTGTAAAATTATAAAATTAATATTTGTAATACTATTACTATTATTAAATTAGACACACGTATCACATTGACAAAATTTGAAGTCAATAATTCGAACTTACGTGAATACTTATGTGAATTTTGTAAGAAAGTAACTAGTGGCGACTCATTGGCGACAGATGTTACTGTCATCAATTTTCATAGTTAAAATATGTTACATTACTTATAGAATTTTACGTTTCAGTTATAAATCATAAAGCAATAACATTATTATTATTATTATTATTATTATTAAAGGATGAAATAAGCATTTTAAAAATAGTTTGTTGAGTACATAATTTTTCGCGCTACTTTTTATATCGATTCAAAGATTACTTCTTTGTAACCGTTTTTTGTGTGCTGGGTTCCGATACCTGATTTGAGGTACAGTTACGGTGAAGTAGATACGCCATCTACTTTCACCGTGTGGATGATGTAGACGCGCCTTCACCTTGACACAGTCGCTTGTATACTTTCATTGTCTCGTTATTCTGTTCTTTTTTCAATTTATGCATATCTGTGACTTTCGTGCAGATTGTTTTTTTACGTAATTAACTAATTATTCATTACGTAAACATCAAACTACTATAAGAAAAAAAATGAAATGAACTGGTATTTGAAATATTACTAAAAAAATTGTAAGTATCTACGACATTGCATAAAATTAATTTATGGCTAGCAGTTCGTATGTTATTAAAAAGTTTCTTAAGAATTCCTGTACATTTTTTCCAGTAATTACGATATAGATTTTTGTGCACATGGTTCGAACTGCCATTTATTTTTCTGTGCTTCTTAATAAAAGTAGAGATTAGATAACGTAATTATGTTATCTGTAATTATATGTATGTATCTGCACTCAACGTGTATTGTATATTAATGTAAGAGTGCACAGAATAAATTAAAAATTACTCGCGCTAAACAGAATACAATAAAGATGAAGGGTTATCCACTTAACTCGGAATCCCGACGTTCGAGACGAGCATGAAGTGGCAACAGCGCGCCACGTATGGGTACTAACACATTTATGCAACGTCATTGGGCTCAAAATTTCTCAGATTCGTTAAATACCAGATATAGGAATTTATTATAAACAATCAGATTCGCGATTTCAATACAAATTTTCAGTTATGATCTAGTCCTCGTTATTATCCGATTTATGGTGTATTTAAATTCATTTTTATCAGAGAAAAATTTTCAGTTGGTCAGTGATGTTTTCATTATGATGTTATTTATAATAAATTTCGTTGCGTAGGTAATAAGCTGCGTGTTACAGTGTTGCCTTTAATGCTAACCGACGACCACAACCTGTCGGCTAGAATCAAATTTTTCAATTTTATTATACATACAATTTTGTTTTTAAAGCTACAACGGTTCGAATCTTTGATATCTAAATATGTTCTTCTCAGATAATTATCTAACCAGAGGCAGAATTTAAAACAAAATATGAAAGTGAAACTAATTGTTTTAATTACTTATTATGGTATATGAAAATTCAGATTTGTGTTATATTTTTGTGCATACTATAATTAATTCATGTACTATAATTGTTAACGAGTATTGTAAACTAGTATTATTTAAAAAATAATAACTTTTTAACATATGACCCGATAAAAGTGATCTAAGCAAAGGAAAAATTATTTCTAGATAACTTAACAATTAGACTAAAAATGATCTCAGGAACAGTTTCTTTTTTGTTTCCCTTGTTTAAAATAATGTGAATCTAATTGTGCCAAAGAAAATAAGTTTTTGTTAAAAAAATATCGACAAAAGTATAGTTCCAATTGTAGTTACAGAATATCGGCTTATTGAATCTTGTCATGATTTCTAAGGATTGTAATGTGAGTTCTGGACCTAAATACTTACAACTGAGAATCAAATTTTAATTGTAATTCTTAATTAATCAACCAAACATACTTTCGTGATAAATATGTATCTATGAATACCATAAAGCAGGTAAATACACAACGACTAGGTCAGTATTGAAAAATTTCACTGAAATCTCACGAGCGAACGGTGCACTTGGGACCTTGCGAATGTTGGAGGTTTCGAGGCCCATGACGTTGCACCAATGTAGCGGCATCTGTGCGTGTGGAAGTAGTATTAGTAAATACTTGTACCAATTAAGCGGGTTGCCCTGTGTAATGATTATGTGTAGTTTGACTGCTTTGGGACCGGAACTACATACAAAGTGCTTGCGCAAGAATTCACGCAACTTGTCAGGGAAGTTCGCTAGGTCCCTCCCTTTCTGTAATAGGTTAGGTTAGGCTGACCATTATTGTCGTTGAATCTTAATCCCCCAGTGCATGGCCTGTGTTTGAGGGACTTATGAGGCTTTCGTTTTCCCTTGAATAAGTCACTTTTACATGTTGTAATAATTTTATTAATAAATAAATATCTTTGATTCTGATAAGCAGAAGACACTGCATCTATTGATAAAAATATAAATGAAACGATGGATTTCCTTGAATTTTACGCGTGTTCTGGCGAGATTATTTTTTTGAATAATCTTGATTATTCCTTGATTAAGAAGGGTTAATTTTTTCACAGTCGACATTTATTGAGCCGAGATCGTTAATTGTCACATTCAGTGTTCAGAAACCTGTAACCAAAAGCCATGATATTCCGACATTAAAGTGGAAGTCAAGAAAACAGTATTATTGTGCAATATCACGCTTGTATATATTTCTTGTTGAAAATTGAAAAGACATTCTGATGTTCCAAATACAAATTAAAAAAGTAATTGTTGTACATAAAAATAAATATTTTGTATTATGTAAAGTATGATAAAAAACTGACTTTACAATGGTCCTTGCTGACAGAGTTTGGCCCACGCTGTGAATGGAAAATCATGAGAATTTAGCGTGGCACTGAACGCGTTAAATGAAGGGCTGTGTTATTTCTTTTCTTTATTTTCTTTAATTTTTTGGCACATCGCGCCAGACGTCCCTCACTGGTCCCAGACTTTGTCGGCCATACTGTTCCACTTCATCTGTCTGCTAGAAGTTAAGACTAGAGAATGAAGCGACACATTTTTCGTTAATAATCGTTCAACACGTTCTTGTGAATTAAATTCAGTAAAAAGATTTTCCGTTAGAAAAATATAACTAAAGAAATTAAAGTATTCCGACTTTACTAAAAATTGGAAGAAGAATTAAAAATTTTTATATTGTAAATTTGCTAAAGTTTTTCTAACAAAAATAAGTTTCCCCTTAATTATTAATCAGAATGGTACCAATACAGTAGTAATTTTACCGAAGTTACGCGGCATTGTAACACTTGGCGTGTTTGCGATAAGTATTTCAAATAAAAACTGAACTTCGCTTGCACGTTACAGGAAAAAAACGTGGCGTTGCGTAGCTCCAATAATGATTTACGTAGTCGTCCTGTTTGCCGTGATTTATTCTAACGAAATGTGTTAAAGACATGGTATAACTTCATTTGAGAAAGAAAAATTTCAATGACAAATTCCTTTTAATAGAAATCTTACACACTAAATGCATTTTATTCCAAAATCAGAAAAAAATGTTTGAAAAATTGCAAATCTGAGTAATACTTGAAAAACGATGAAACAATTCGTGAGAATTATACAATGTAAAATTTAATTACATTTGGAAAGTTATTTTATAAAATTGTAAGTATGTATAATTATATTATACATTCTCTAATAAGGCTGTGAGAATAATTTCTATTGGTGAAGAAACTTGGTGGGAAAGAAAATATTTTCTTAGACGTTACGTGTACACAAGGTTGGAAAGAATTGAATTAAGTAAAGTTTCATTTTTAGCCCAAAATGATGTTGGCAAAGTTAATCGAAAATTCTGTAGTTTAACGGTGATGTTTAAGTAGGACAGTCTGAATAACGGTTTATGGTAAGGTAGTTACTGATAAGTGATATAGTCTACGGAAGATTTTATCGTTATAACAAGGTTGCAAAATAATTATACGGTCCACAAGAATTTTCATTATTCATTCGTAATTAAGTCAGCATTCTAATTTCACATATGTTTTCTACAACGAGATATTACTAGTTTCTTATTGTGTTAGTTTCGATGACTAATAATAAGCTGTGCTTGTCAACAGATCTTTGGGTTAACGTACCTAATATTGCTACGCGTAATATGTTGCAAATAACGATCTAAAATATCTCGGTAATAAATTAAATTAGTAACTAAGTACTTTTGTGAACACGTAATTTAACTCGTTATAATGTAATCTTGCTCGTATATTATTATTTGACAGTCAGTTGTATGAATTTCTGACAAATACGAGTGGATGGAATACCAAATAGGGAAATGTTTGTAAAGATTTAAGAATGATATTAATTTATGTTCAACTTATTAAGATTCAAATTACAATATTTCTAATTAAGAACTTAATTGTAATATTGTATGAGCAACAACTAGCGAAGAAGTGTTTTAATGAATCTTGATACTATCAAAATATCTTGAACCATGACATTGGCACATGACATTAAGAGAAGTTAATTCTAAATATTGTACATCTCTAAAACAGTTTCCTTCCGTTTTGGCTGGTTCTCTTAACTTGGCTACTTTCCAGAAATTTCAAAAATATGAAATTCGAACATGAATTAAGTTCAGCTAGCATATAAATGTAATCCATTCAAAAAGTAGAATATTGGTTAATTTTTTTACTTTCAGAAAAAAGACATTTCTTAGTCTTTTGAGCAAAACAAAAATTTAACAAAAGTGCCCAAAATATTCATTCAATTACAAGTATAAATAAATATAAATAAAGCTTCGAAATCTCATGAACATATAAATTCGTTATTATTCTCAAATCGACGGTATTAAGTACATTTGTTCAATCACGGTATCCTTATTTCGGGATACATCACATTTTTCTATTCATAATTAAAAATCAGTGGATCCCAACAGTTGCAACTCATTCTACGCGAAACGCGCGTAACTTTTCTTTAATCTTATTCTAATTGGACTAATTTAAGATTCTTAATTAACTGTAGCATAATATGATAATTTTCTGATTTATTTGAAAACATGTGCAAAATCATATATTATTTATACAGTATGATTATAATATAAGTTCCTCATAGATGAACACTATAGGAAATGTTCAAAATTCAATCGAGGAAAAATAATTAAGCTGAGAAAATAATTTTAAGTTAAAATTCCAAAAGTTGTTTTTTGATACCTCCACTAGAAATAGTGTTAACTCTATTTTTCAAGCGTTTCCAAATTTTTTTACGTATGAACTGTCATCAAATTTTGTATAATTTTCATTTAAACAAATGAACAGCTCACCACAACGATATGAAAACCAATAAAATGCATAACAATTGGAATAAAATCAAGTGTCAAATTTGCCTCGATATAGGACCACAAAGAATTAATCGAGAACTTGAATATCGGTAGCCGATATTAGTCAGAATAACTTTGTAAACAAATGAACGACATAAACGAACATCTGTAGAAAAGCTCGATCGTAAGACTATGATCTGTCGCTGGGTCGAGCAGTGTTGGTCGTGCTTGGACAAATGTGTCGCTGATTTCACAAACCGCTAGGCGATATCGCAGCCAGTACAGCTAGCCAATATCCGGTTCGGTTGGTTGCTAGAGGTTTGGTAGCCTCGTCGTCGTCTCCTTTTAATGAATGCCCGCGCGATTCTTCCATGCAGCCAGAAAATGCGATAGCGCGGCTGGTGAAGAAAGAAGTGAAGAAGAAAGTTCGAAAGCTGAGAGGTTGCTCGGACTCCGACACCGACGACGACGAGTTCGAGGACGACCTGGTAAGCGACGGGAGACAGGCTTCGACTGTTTTTATTCTCCTTCGAGTGCGAACTCGAATGATTCGAGCGGAAAGCGAGGAAACGTTTTAGGGGACCTTGAAATCCACGAAACCGCAATGGTTGCGAAAAGCGAAACGAATTCTCCCGTAATAATGTCAGAGTTATTTCAGGTGGAAGATTTCAGTGAGTCATCCTGTTTATACGGATGATGGAAGAGACAGTATTAAAGGGATGATTGAACGGTACAGATGAAAGGCGAGGAAAGTTCAAAAGATTGAAACCTTGCCCAACGATTTCATTCAAGATGAATTCGACGTTCTTTAACACTAAAATTACCGAGTAGTTGAATTGATTTTTTGAAAATCCTCTATAGAATTTGCAAGAGTGTATCTATTAAAGCTTTAATTGATTTACAATTCGGTTTGCATATTGCTACATCAATTTCTTTAATAATATCTCAGAGAAACATTTGTTACCTTTTCAATATTTGCAAAAAGAAGAATTCAGGAATGGATCATTTTGAGCCGTCTGGTAGTTTTAGTGGTAAAATGTTGAGTCGGTTATTTTAAATGTTAACCCCTTTGCACTCGGAAGATTTTCGCTGTATATATATTTAATTATTTTTTGACGTAATGTAGATATTATATTTGTTGAAACTTTGCTGATTTATTGAGAAACTACATCTAAATCGAGGAAAAAACTATTTTACTTGAATATTTCACGTATCTATGGATTATACGAAATTTAATATTAAATTCAAAAGTATATAATTTTGCTGTATCGATGTGGCGACTGAGAGTTATTTCTCAAGTGCAAAGGGTTATTTGATAACAGAAAAGCAATATTTAAATTCATGTATCTGAATTAAATTTTCGCGGCCCGAATATTTCTCTTTGCGATCCCATTTGGTGTCGCGTTCCATAATTTGAAAAACGCTGCTCTAAAGCATAACAATTGATAATAGAATAATAATATTCAATTTGAATGCACAAAAATGAAAAAACGTGAATATCACGTTTCTCGCATTCGTACGTGCCCAGAAATCAACAGTTTAATTAACACATTCCGTGCCATCGGAAACTTGTTATATCTTGCTTATAAAGTGCACTGGTTTCTTAAATGAAATATTAAGTTACATTCAAGTTTTTGGTGACTTTTATATATATTTTAATATTATTTACCGCTATTCGTTGACACGTGTCTTACAAAAAACGTTTCCTTACAAAAATTGCGCGTGTACTACAAATGGTACACGTGGCACGGAACGTGTTAAAAAAGAGTTCACGACGAGCCCCTCGAAGATTCGTTGTTCTCGCGATAGGCTTGAGAAGCCACTCGCTCACGTTTTTCTCGGTATCTGTTTACATTCTGTTTGGCTGAGTTTGATTATGATCCACAAAGCAATCGCCGGTGTGTAAATACCTCCCAGAAATTATGCTCGCCACAGGGAGAGATGTTGGTTCTCGCGCGAATTATCTTTGCGTTCCGAAGCGATACCAATGACGCAGACTTTAAGTGTTTCGCAAAGATCATGTTGGCTGGAACGAGACGTTAACTATTCTTCGGAAATAATGTTCCTTATCGCGACGATGCGGACATAATATTTTATCAGGTTGCTAGGAAATAAATAATTCAAAAATTCCTGTGTCCGATATGCTTCTATTCAGATATAACTTGTTGTTAGATACATAGGGTGGAACACGAAACGTGATTAGCTTAGATTATTCTGCTGCTAGCGGTTCGATCAGAAATTTTGTTAGCTAAAACAACATGGTTCAAGGAGAACTTTGAGATGATTCTACCAAATTTTTTGTCAACTCTTTTTCCCCAGAATTGTCAAGGTCACCTTCAGTACACGTAGCTTATAAAACACTACTAACACCTCACGTTTGATATCATTAAATGTGTTCCAAGATGCAGAATGAAATGTTTACAAACAGTGTGTGGGGAATCAAGTCAGTAATGACTAATACTAATCTATCAACAGTTCTAGAAAGTGTACAACAGTGTGGCTTGCTATTCCTCTTTAACAATCTTTAAGAAACTTGCAAAACTCTTGCAAACTTCTTCAGTATTCTTAAGTAACAGAAAAAAATATTTGTTATGATGATTGTCGAATTCGTCTCAGTATTCCCTAGAAGATGGGTATACAAAAATTGTAGGTTTATCTGTAAAAAAACTGAAGGTGACCTTGATATCTCTGGAAAAAAAGGGTTGACAAAAAATTTGGTAGAATCATCTTAAAGCTTTCTTTGAACCATGTTATTTTAGCTAACAAAATTTCCAATTGAACCAGTAGCAGCAGAATAATCTAAGATGATGACGCTTCGTGGTCCTCCCTGTATGCTTCGATTGTAGTTCATAATTTCTCTCGACGAGTTACAAGATTGTCTATTTCATCTGGACAAACTCTTGGGTTATAGAACTGGCAACACCTTCGAAGTTGTTTTGATAAAAAAGCCTCTTAACTTTAGAAAATGGTGTAGAAGTTTAAAAAGTGATAGTTTTTATCAATTTATCGATTCTGGTCCTTTTTTCTCAGGTTCTGATGCATTTCGTTTAACTTTTAGTAATGCTTCTTTGAAGTGATTGATTCTCTAGTATTTAAAGATAGAATGAGTAACTCTTACTGTTATTCATCATCAGAAGCCATCTATTGCGGATTCAACGATGCTTTCGACGTTTATTTTTTGGTCTTTTCATATGTTAATCGTTGCAAAACCTTTCATTGTTATATAAACGTTATTTTCCGCCGCAGGTTAATGTTGGACCTGAACAAATTGCTATCCGTTGTTGTTACTACTTCTTCGTTTCATTCATATGGCACACATTATTAAATTTCTTTACTTTACTCATCTTTATGTGATCAAGAATAGTTGTATGATCTATCCTAAATTCTATAAATAATGCGGTTTTTTATATTTGTATTTTAAAAATAAGGATAAACAAAACTGTTTTCAACATGAGACACATTTTATTTTTAAAAATAGAAATATGAAAAATCACATTATTTATGGAATGACCCAATATTTAAGGCTTGTGTCACTGAAAATGAAATCTGCCTTAATTTAAACTTGTAAAATTATATTAATTAGTGACTCCATGACGATTTATATTTGCAATAAATGCACAATCTTAAGTTGTTATAAAAAATGTAACAGCGTAAGACACACACACGCCTTATATTTTGAGAATTAATTGAGAATTTTTTGAAAATTGCAATATATTTATTTAGCAAAATTAATTTTTGCAAGTGCTCTGACACTTTAGAATTGCATACACAGTCACAAGAAGAAAATGTCAGATGTATGATTTCATACCTGTCAGAGTTGCTATGATTTTCAAATATCGTGTGGCGTACATAATATAGGAAATAAGTAATGAATATAAAAAAACCCTGATTCGCAATGTCGTTTGTCCTTGTACTATGTAATGTAAACAAATGCATCTGTGTAATCAATTTGACGGAGTTGTGCCAATAGATTAAGCTCATCTATTTTTCAAATGAATTGCTTGCATGATGACACTGTTTATCTACTTTTAAAACGAATTGAACAATTTCAAGGTCATTGAAAGGTTTCTGAAATTCGTTACTAACATGTTGATCGAGTTTTAAGGAAAAATATAACATTCCATTAAGACAGGAAAAAGAACATCGGAGAAAAATATTTTCTTGTGAGTCGAAGTACGATTGAAAATATTTCATGTGATACAGTTAGATGAAACATTATAGATAAAAATTTAGTTAAACACAAGTTCAACATCGGAATCAGTGTTAAAAATTGTTCGAATTTTTATTCTATTGCACTTTATTCGGTTAAGCACCGCGGTGTCGTAATGAATTGACATTCATGAATTCACGGCACAATGGCCACTGGACAGACTTTCTGTTATGATGACGTGATCACATGTGGGCTGTGTGATCCGGGAAGATTTTTATTAGCTAAGATACGTTGCCCACCAGTAGATCCTGTGTTCATAATGGTTTCGTCAATTGTAGTTACACGAACACGTCGTACAGTCGTTCACAGTTCAGTACAGTAGGACCTCGATTAACCGAGTCGCTATTTTCTGAGATCTCAATTGTCTAGAGACCTGTTTAACCCCTTCTCTTATAAGATCGTGTCAGACTCATGAAGGAAATTTTAAACTGAATTTGACAAATCTAAATGTTATGTATTTATTTTTTATATAAATCAAGTATTAATTGCCTATTATCAATTTTTAGCCTTTAGAGTAAACGTGGACACAGAATAAGTACCAAATTCTTTTCTTGTTCTACTAAATTATTAATGAACAAGAAATTAAGCTGAAACCCAGTAATTTGGTTTCTTAGATTGTACCTCAAAATACATACGACCAAATTTCGCATGTTTAAAACTTGCCTTAACCTGTTAACAGTGGAATTTAGTTTAAAATCTCTCTTGTTTTGAGTACAATAAAATAAAGAAATGAAGCGTGTAGAGTATATTTTAGAAATAAAGAAGAATTACGTGTTTATCTGAAAAAATAAATAATTGATCGTTAGTATCATTTCAAGCTTTAAGATAACGTGTATACTCGTCAGACGCAGTTAACTGGTTAAAACAGATATGTTTACATGCTTTAAAACATGTTTTCTCAAGCTTTCATTTCTTTAGACTCCTGATCGTCCAATTATATCGAACAGTCGATGTTCTACTGTACTTCAGTGGTGGTGACTCTATTCATGGACTGGATCTTACTATGTGAAAAATATCTTTCATGACACAATGTCCATCAAACAACTTTTCAGTGGCTGATTTCAACTTTTCCAATAGCTAAACTGTCACAAAATGATTCATCGTTGGTAACTCTGACAAATTTAATCCTTTGCATTTCAGAAATTTTTCACCAGAAAAACTTAAAGTTTTCTGATGAAATATAGATCACATTTTTTTAAATCAACTTAAGAAGATACCCAACATAAATTGAGGAACAAAATATTTAGAAATATTAGTCTTGTAGTGATCTGTCGTTTGAAATGAAGAGCTTTTTGTTAAAGAAGTCACAAATGGAAAAGAGCAAAAGAATAAAATGTATTGAAAATTATTATATTTGAGAAAACGCGAATTTACACCAGCAGTTGCGAATACGTTAATATTATATTTATATTTTTAACATTGATGTTCTTAACATTAATTTTCTAAAATTAGACAATTATACGCTAACGTTTCGAAAATATGTAGGGATGCAGCAAATAAATTAGAATTGACATTACAATTGACAACCAAATAATTGAATATAAGATAAAGGTAAACGAACAAATCGATGAACTTTTTTACCGAGAACAGAAATAAAAATAAAGATAAACATTGAAATGTAGTCACTTTAAATGTCACAATTTATACTGTTGCTATATTAAAATCAAATGACGATTGATGGTCGCCGCTGGAGTGAAAATGGGCTAATTTTAAATTCTTGGTCAGACGCAAGAATCTTCTGTCTGTCGGTTGAAATGCCTCGATATCAGTGACGCGTACTTTCATCAGCGAAGTCGCTTCACCGTAACCAAGAACGCGCGTCCGTTTCAATTGAAACGAGCGTTTCATACGTTAGAGCCTAATAAGGGGAAAAAGAAACGGAGACGAGCGCACTCGGAGCACATTGTACCGCGGCGCCATGTTGTTTTATTAACGGCTCCGGTCGCGTGTGTTACGTCAATTGCATGAAAATAACGCGGGATGACTCATTACAGCAGACGCCATTTAAGGAAACGAGAAAAGCGTCCACCGTTCACTTTTATCCTAATGGCAACCGTCTTTTATCGTTCTGTGACCTTGCCGGACGCGCTCCACTTCTTAATTTATTCACCGTAAAAGTGGAGATCTCGCGAGTAACCGATTATCGGACATGAAATTATGTTCTCGTTTCAGTAATTTATCATTTCAGACCTGCGACAGAGCTTTGTCAGATCATTTGACAAATCTAACTTAGCAGAGTCATAAAAAATAGTTCCACGAGGCATAAGAGATTTTCATTTGAATATTCTGAATTGGCTGAAAGATTGAGTTGTTTTACTTTTCAAAGTGGAGTTTGTATTACGATACACTAATAATTATTGTAAACAAATGAACGATACAAGTTTTTTATTTTTATGAGAAATAGTCGAAACATTTTCCTAGTTGATGAAAAGTGTTAAGACAGTTGTAAAGGGTTAAGATATCAGTAACTGGGAAATAAAAAAACTGGAATCCGACATTTTGGCGGGTGCAATTGTTCTAGTATTAAAGTCTATTAAAGTCTCCTAACAAAAATAGGACAAGATTTTTCAGCCGACCTACTAGAACGAACGATAAGCTTCCAACGGACCAAAATAAAGGTCGCTTGAAGATCAATCGAATCAACGTCTCCAACAGGCTGAATCAAAACCAACTGAATGGGTAGATCACGACGAGTTCACGATGAAAGATCAGATAAAAATATTTCGTAATCGTCGATCTGCCGTATGAAAACCTCCACGTAGACGGTGGATCGGAGAAGCAACCTGCACAGGTGTTGTTACCTGTGAACTGTGGATTATTACGTAACGCGTGTGCTAGACTCGAAGCAATTAGCAGGCGTTATTCCGTGAGTCGCAGGTAGTTTTTCGACGTTTCCTCTGTACCCTTTTTCTCCTCACCGCGGTCGTCCGGTGATGTTATAAGCTATTTATGTTATCGGGCCGTATTGCAAGGTCGTCGTCTTGATAGTCTGAAGTTGGCGCGCGGCTAGGCGTTGCCTACACTACCAGCGCGCATGAAACGCGGATATTTCTTTTCCTCGTTCGGTCCATCGGGGGTTACAGCCACTTTAACGACCGCGGAATGGACGGTATGAGATTATTCAGGATATTTTAAGAAACGGACGAGAATTAAAATCTTCGCCTATCGTCCTTACGCAACGACGGAGATTTTAATTGCAAGATTAAAATTCCTTAATTGTATAACGGCGAGGTATTAAAAGTGTTTGAAATTAAATTATGGTAATTCCTTCAACGGAACGATACTCCAGGAGGAACTTAATACACGCGATTCCTCGTATGTTAATATTTCTTTTGTAGCGATGCTTTTTTGTACAAGCCGGCGAAAGATATTTTCTTAACGTCTTTATTAACATAGGAATGCGCAAGAACGATTGAGGCTGCTGTGCAAGTAACGGAAATTCGAACAATCGTTATCGAAGATGAATTTCTTTGCGAGATGATTTTCGAAGTTCTCATTACGTTATGGAACTACTATTGTAGATAGGTTTTCGCGTCGACTGTTATCAGACGCGGCGTTGCCGACGTACAGGGTGATTCACGGAACGAAAATAAGTCTTTACCTCTTTCCCACTTGTAATTAGATAAAAATGTCGACTAATAATACGAAAACGATACTTTTTCTCGCATGTACCCACAGTGACGCATGTGAATTTCACAGTTACACAATTATGTTATACGGAGACTTGCGTCTCTTTTTGCATACAAGACATTTTCTTGTCATTCTTCGTGAAAAAATGAAAAAATAAAAACGATCAGTTCGTGATTTATTTCGAATAAGCTTCAGTTGTATTAAATGCTTGCAAATGCAGTTTTTCTGCTGTTGCAACCAGGACGAAGTGATCTACAAAATGGTCAGAACGATACCTTCGAGCAATTTTCTTGACAGAGACACCGTTCTAATGTGTTTCTGACTAGGCGATGTACTTGCAAATGTTTAAAGTCAAATTTTGTAATGTTTAAGCGTTTTTTTTTCTAATTAATTGTGATAGACACCTTATTCGAGCATCTCACGAACTGTTCAGTTCTTATCGCTTTATCTGAATGCCTTATGAAGAATGAATGATTTGCATTCAAATTACTTTAATCGCATAATTCAACACCAATATATCTTCATTATTTGAACGCATGCTAACCGTAATACTAACAACTGGAAGACTGGACATTCGTTCTTGTCTAGGGTAAGTAGCCACGTGTCGAATCAGCTTAACGAGCAGGTTTGCACAAGTACCATTTCCCGCGTTTCCCGTTGTCTTGGCACGTTCAATAATAACGTGGTTCTCCAAGATTCGCGTTAATGGAAATCATGTTTGCAATAATTGCGAACGAGCTCGGGACGTGAGGTGTAGCATAACAATCTCGTTAACCCCTTCTTCTATAATACCGAGTCAGGCTTCGGATAAAAATTATCAATTGAATTCAATAAATCTAAATGTTTCCTACTTCTGTTTCGTATAAATGAAGTATTGCTTGTCTAAATCATAGGACAAGGGGTTAATCTGTAGTATTTCAACATTAAACTGTTCCCGATTTGGACGAACTTCTGCCGAATTGAAGTTCGATGCTTGCACTATCGTTTGGGATCTCTGGACCTAAAGATCTTTACAAGTTTGCAGTTTATCCTTTTCAAATAAAAATCGTTGGTTATTAATGTAGATTTTCGTGTATTGAAAATGAATCTAAAATTTCGTTTTTCTACGTTACTCTCGATTTTTGAGTAAATTAATTTCAAACTTTTAAAGTTATTTGCAAAAATAATTGTTATTGAAAATAATCATTATTGGCAAATGATTCCATAAATACAATTATATATTGCTTATAATGTTATAAACGATTAAATATATTTAAATAATTTTTTAAGTAAATTATAATTATTATTAAATAAAAAAGCAGAACAGTCAATTTAACAGCTTGGCAGTTCTAGTGTTAATGTAACGTAGCTATTTCAACCTTGTAACTTTATTAGCTTGTTTCGCATCTGTTGCTTGTCAATCATTTATAATAGAAAAACTTTACAAAGCAATATAAGAACAGTCATCCGTTTGTATCCATTACGTTTAAGATATATTCAGCACGAGATAGGGATATTTTAAACACACAATAACGGAATATCGCGTTTAACTTATTGTTTCTTAGAATTATATAACTCGCGAGCAATACATGTGACGATGAAGTTAGCTAATGTAATTGCATGTATGAAATGGCTGCGTTACGTTAAGGGGGACTCCTAGCGATCGTTGACGTTGAGGATTACTAATGGCTCTTTGTATCTCGTGGAATTATTCATTTTGTTTTCGCAATCGAACATCAAATCTGAATGCTTAACGAATAAATTATTCTTGTATGGTTAACGAATAAATTATTTTTAATTTTGAAAATTAACGTTGATATTATGTTCAAAATTAAATTTTCCAAAAATCGAAGTTAACGGAGAACAGTTTATAAATTAGCCTTCAATGTTGGAGAATCTACAGAAATTACTTATTAAACGTTGCAGTGCACGGAAACAGTAAACATTGTTGGGTAATATCATTGAGTCATTAAAATGATATCGTTTCTGTGAAATTGAATAATCATATATTTCCTGATTTTTTATCTTCGATGATTTTAGCCTTCATACATTATCCTATATTATTTAGTATTTAAACGATCGTTTCTTGTTGCATTGCAACAATTGTAAGTAATCAACTGTTGGTACTTGCGTATTATACGGACCACCTTTATTTCCTAATTGAATGTTGCGTTGGTCAGTCATTTGGGTTAGGTCTGAGTTAGTATTTACTTAATATTATAACACTTTATTAATGTACTATTATTATTATTATCATCATTAGTACCATTATCAATAGTATTATTATTAATATTTTGTTTCTTAAAAACGAAGGTAGTCCGTATAATGCGTAAGTATCCAATTGTTTACGTATATTTCTCTTCTAATTCCATGTTTTCGAGTCGTACAACTGGCATGATTTGTAGGCGTCCTTGTAGTACGTTTCTACGGTGCCATTTATTTATCCACAATAGAGCGACGTGTTTTGGAAATGTGGAACCAGTTTAACGGGAACTCACTGTGATATTATGTCACCATTGAAATACAATTAGAATCACCATTTAAAAGAGAAGAAAAAGAGAAATAAAATGAAACATTGTACTTGAAATTGATTCTCAAGTTTCACTCTAAGTAGTATCCCCTTAATGCACAATATATTTGAATAAACTAAGTCCATTAAAAACGACATCGATATATTGTCGATAATGAATTGATTTGGGACTTAACCTCTAAAAATTATTGAAAAAAGGGAACAACAATATTAACTTTCTGATATTCATAATTTTCCAATTAATAATACGCGAATCAAGGGATAGAACTATTTTATCGTAATACTCTATGTCTCATCACATTATATCAGATTTGGTATTAAACATCGAATTTTACAATTTTCCTATGTCAAATGTTAAATTATTGCGCAAAGGGTTAAATTGTTTTTTAAATGCATTTTATTTTGAATCGTTCAAATTGTCCCCCATCAATCTCATTTCCGACGTATTCGATCGTGGATCCCATAAAAAAGCAGCAATGTGATGGTATTGGCAAATAATTGCAGGTAGCTCCATGCGGCCTTCGAATGAAATTCTGGAACGTAAGGGAACGTAATTAAAAAATTTTCTAACCCGTAGACGTGAACCGAGAAATCGCATCCTAGCGTCTGGATTTCAATCCTCGAACTAAAACTTTTGAAACACTTGCTTTGAAATGAGTCTTACGTGATTAAAAAAATATCTTTTCGTTACTGACAACGAATAACAGCGAATTAGTTCTTTTATTTGACGTGTGAATCGAATTGTTTGTTGATCGAATAGTAAACGGGGACATGAATTTTATAGTATCTATTACTAACTGATTAACACTTCGCATTCTTCGTGAGCCCACGAAGAATTCAGTGTTACCACGTGTGCATTCTAGAAAATGCACGTCGTGTTGTTCTCAACTGCAGTTGAGGACATCGTGCGAGAAACTAACCGAATCTTGTGGTATTATCCATTAGTCAGTTCCATATGCGGAAGACATTTAATTCGTGGATTAAATATTAATCGAGGATCATTATCTCGGCGCTCACAAAAATCCAAGCCGAACACTGCAATTAACTGCTTTTCATCGTACATCCATAATAATGATAATCACTTTTGTTTCACGAAGAATTGATACATATTTAGTTGGTGTTTGTTAATTAGAAAGAATTAACGTTTGTAATGTTTTCTTTCCACTGTCATTCAATATTTTTATTCGTGTTCTAGTCATATTAACCCTTTATAGGACAGTATTCCTGTTAATGAGAGATTGATCGAGACTCGAAACAAATTTCTTTTCTATTAATTTCATTTTATAACATTGTTAACATTTGAAGAACAATTCACTGGAATTCTTGGTTTTAGTTTTGTTGCACATGTATACAGTGATTAAATATTTAAAAAATATTTTTGTAGAAATACATTATAGGACTCGTTTGATGAAAATGTTCCTAATGATAATTATCGGTAAATTCGATAGTTATGAATTATTGTCTCTGTTTAAAAGATGCTACTAGAAATAAGAGGCAGTTATCTGTGAAGTAGGGATTAAGATAAATTACAATTGTTTCTTATCGAATAAATTAAAATGTCGTATTTGTAAATTGTAGATTACATTAATTGCTATGATCATTAAGGATGATAATGTATTTCTTTTTTAATTGAGAAATTGAATCTTTAATTTGGAAAATGAAAATTCAGAGTGTTCGTAACTGTAGGGACTGGGCTGGATCGTTCGATGCTATTGGTGTACTATATACAGCAGTAAACTATAAAGGGTTAAGTAAGTTTTGTTTTAAATGAGGTTTTCTGTTTACATTATTTTTTTTGTTGATAACAAAATCATCAATCATCTTGATTAACTCTTAAATGCATATCTGACCGTTTGTTGGTAAATTAGATTTCAGATAGAAATCTTTTTAAACAAAACAAATTATAATTCTGATCTCAATTCCAAAAGTATCCAAAAGTTGTTACAAGTAATAACCTAATAAAGAAAGCTTCCCCTCGATTGAAGTTTTCTTATTTAAAATATGCAATTGAATCGTGCATAATCAATTTTTCTCAACGAAAACACATGAAACAGTTAATTTGTCCATAGATTATACATAATAGAACATTTTCGAGTTATATTTCGATAAATAATAAAGAATTTCAACGTTACACAATTATAATCGTCTATTCAAACGTTAAATAATAAAAGAATTAGTGCAAATTCCACCGTAAACCATGAAAATTACAATAAAATTAAAATAGGGAAGCAGCCCTTCTAATAACATCAAAAGAAAAACAAAATTACCATATACGGAATATGAATGACGAGTCCAGCCATGTGTACGGTTAATTAATTTTCCAAATCGTATGTGCAACTTGTATCTTACATTGTTCGGCCTTTTACATCATATCATATCTTATTCGAGCCTTGAAAAGTTAAAGGGCAAAATACATTTAAGAGTTAACGTAGCACGCCAAATGTAAATAACAAAAAGGAAAAGCATCATCCATCCTCGCCAATAGATCAGAAACATATCAAGATTATCTACGTTCAGCATTACAATTTACAAAACACCTTTGCTGTAGCGCACAATAGACCAACACGTATTAATTAATATATTAAATATTTATAATAATAATATTAATTGATAAATATTTAATATATATTTATCACGTTGACCGCCACGATGTCCATCGATGACCAGATAGCATAAATTTCTTGAAAACAATTACAAGAAGAAAAATGATGACTAATTAAAATATTTAGTTATATAGTTAGCTAAATAATAGTGTAACTTAATATTTAACCATCCAAATAGGGAAATCTCCAGTTTTCCCTTAGCAACGTATTGCCTTTTATTTTGTTCATTTTTTGTTTCCTTATCTGGTAACTCTTGAATTTGGTTTATTGGTAATTCGTCAAATACTTTTCTTGCTTTTATAAAACAAAACCTTTAATAAAATCAGTTAAATTAGTTTAATTGAAGTTAACGAGAAAGGTTATAGTCATAGTCTTTTTTAGGCGGTTCCCTAAGTGTTAAGAGATATGATATCAAATTATGAATATGTGAATATATTGTTGTGATGTGATAAGTAATGTTACACAAAACGCTCAAAA